AACTTAGCTGGAGTTACCCAGCCCTGAGTTTTATCATTGGGTTGTCTATAAGGGCTGGAGCGAATTTTTCTCGTAACTTGTAGTATTTGCAAAAAAATTTGGAAAATGTTCAATTTTGTCCCCGTTACACACTAATTGCAACTGCAACTCACCCCAAACTTGCCTGGAATAACCATTACACAGGTCCTTGAAGTAAAAAACGATCCACGATGAAGATTCAGCCTACAATTGCAGTGAAAACAGGAGGAATAACCGCTAACCTGACAACCTTTCAGGCATGGCCAGGACTGCTATTGGTTTGTGCACAAAAAAAATTGTGTACAATGAATGGCGGTCGATTAACAGGCACAGAGAGCGATCGCTGTCAACTACTCGTTTTGCCGGCTGCGCTGGCGTTGGCGCGTGACGTCACGCGGAAGCGTAACACCCGATGACTGTTTCATGCACTATTGGTTGCGGTTCCAGTACCAAAGCTGTGATGCGAGTGGTAAACCTTATACTAGTGCATGAAACAGTCATCGGGTGTTACGCTTCCGCGTGACGTCACGCGCCAACGCCAGCGCAGCCGGCAAAAACGAGTAGTTGACAGCGATCGCTCTCTGTGCCTGTTAATCGACCGCCATTCATTGTACACAATTTTTTTTGTGCACAAACCAATAGCAGTCCTGGCCATGCCTGAAAGGTTGTCAGGTTAGCGGTTATTCCTCCTGTTTTCACTGCAATTGTAGGCTGAATCTTCATCGTGGATCGTTTTTTACTTCAAGGACCTGTGTAATGGTTATTCCAGGCAAGTTTGGTGTGAGTTGCAGTTGCAATTAGTGTGTAACGGGGACAAAATTGAACATTTTCCAAATTTTTTTGCAAATACTACAAGTTACGAGAAAAATTCGCTCCAGCCCTTATAGACAACCCAATGATAAAACTCAGGGCTGGGTAACTCCAGCTACTTTTAACTAGTAAATTTTAGTTTTATGGTTGAAAATCGCGTGACAGGCATGACATGTCAGACTAGAATATCCATTTGTTTCTACAGACCTGAGAACTCCTTGTTAATCAAACATTTCAATGTAATTAAGTGCGTTAAAAACAAACTCTGAATTGAAAACTCACAATACTTCGCCGGTGTTGACCTACTTTGACGATATGAATGATCAAGTGGTGGCGCCCTGTGTGCACCGCGCGCGCTGCGCTTACTGACTGTGTATGTACATAAACATTATTGCCAGCCTCGGGTTTGAACTCGAAAAACATGTTATTATTTGTTTCAATAGTTATTTTCCTAGCAATAAAAAAAATATTCTCTTTTGAATGGGACATCCAAAACAAAAAATCCACGGACGTTTAGTTATTGATAGCTATTTCTACACAACAATTCGATCATTGGCTGCAGCAGCTAGCTCTAGCTCTCGCAGGCGGGGCATAGTGCAGGGCGTGGGTTCACAATAGTCTTAGGCGATATTTCAAAAAATGTTACATAAAGAGGCATTTTCAAGTAGAAGTTGGTAACATAGCTATTTTACCCAATTTTTGGGTGCTAAATCCGAAAATGATGGCCACCAAGCTGGATTTTTAGTGGAAATCATGATGCCAGGCTAATTTGCCTCATAATTATTCAGTCACTTTCTTAGAAAATGTTATTGAAGTAAGGAAGTGTAAGTATAATCACCAAATAAACTTTTCCAAAAAATAATAATAAGAGCATACCAAAATATGGGGAACAATATATTACACAGTCGATAGGTATTAAAGATTAATGCAAATTAGGCATATTTCTACTAAAAATCCAGCTTGGTAACCATCATTTCCGGAGCACCCCGAATTAGGTAAAATAGCTATGTTACCAACTTCGTATCGCGTTGTTCATTCAATTTCGTCTGAACCAGTCGTAAGGGGTTGATCGGCCATTCCTTTTCATTAATGGGCAAACATATTTCACATTTGTCAAGCATCATTATTTTAAGACTTCCTGCATGTAAAATTCTAAAATATCTGGGCGTCAATCATATCTAATGTATTCAATTCGTAAATGCAAACCTCTCTTTCTTAATTAAAGGGTCCGTGCAATGAATTTTTCTCAGGAATACATTTTGTGCAACTTTCTACTACAGAATTCTGAAATGTATGAAAACTACACATTTGACATCTTTTTTTTTTTGGTTAATCTTATTGCAAAGTGCACTTCTTTTAAGATATCCATGCTTTTCCGGACTACTGAGCGTGCTGTTGCTGTGATGTCATTTCAGACACTGTTCAGTTTAGGGGTTTTCTTTCAAATTATTCACCCACAATTTCCTAATTGAAACAATTGTGAGAAAAGGTTGCTCATTAATGGCTTACTGCCATGTACTGACTGAGAGGAAAGCAAAAGTGTACGACAGCAAAATATCCAAAATGCTAGCAACTTTTTGTGCGGAAATAGGCATTTAATCTGCCCGGAATGACATCAAAGTTTTGCTTATAAATATGCTCATAAATATGGAAATTTGCATTAACATGACAATGGAGAAGGCACCAACTGAAATGGAAAAATAAAACTTGAAAATAAGGTTACATGTGACACAAAGATGTATTTTCAAGGTTTGCATTGAAAAAATTACTTTGCGTGGGCCTTTAAATAAGTGTTCGGTCAGAACATAGGCCAGAAAACATGTCAGAAATTACCAAAGAGCGTTCCTGACTTCCTGATGGTACAACTATTGCCAAACATACATGTCCCGATGTCTTTTCACGTCAAGAAATCGTCAACGTCAAGATGTGCCCCTTGCTCAAACGTTTAAACACGTAGAACAGATCAACAGTGAAAAAGAAATTGGGCTATCTTAGCCCTTTTCATTTCGTTATTTCGTTACATCTTGTATCCCTCATGTCAGTTAATTTGTGACACTGGAAATTTACAGTCACCAAGATTTTTTGGGCCGGGAAAACGAACCTCAGAGGAAAATAGGAAAACATATCAATTAAAAAGGATTACAGTCAACTCGACCGGGCGTTTGCCAACTCGACTCGAACCAACTCGACCGTTTACCAATCTTATTAATTTGAATGACCAAACGATGAAAGTGATTGCCCATAAACGAACTTAAGAAACGAAAAGCATGGTATATACGTTGAGCGCACCAACGTTCGCTAATTTGAATACGTCAACTGTCAAAAGGTTGCAAAGACTTCAATTTAAGAATCGGCTACAAATTAAGTCTCGAATGCACCAAAACGAACTAGAATGCCCCAAAACGAAAACGAACATTCAGAGCAAAATCTTGGCTGCCTAAAAATTGAATTGAATGCCCCAAAAATGAAAAAGAAAGTTTGATCACGTGTAAAAATCACGCGAAATGGAATGAATGATAGGTCTCATGAAAATGATTAGGAAATTTGCCGGGAAAACCTATATTAAGTTTGAGTGGAAAAAACAGGCCCGGATTATACAATAGGCACAGTAATTAGCACTGAGCCTAGGGCCTACGAAAAATTCGGGGGCCTATACGAAAATACCGCAGTGTGCCATAAAACATGCACACACGTTTGTTTTACATACGCTATGTGGACATTCCTTTGTTTTCGTGTAGTTGAGAAAACTCGGTACAAAAAATAACTTTACATAAACTGTGAAAACTCTTTCAACCCAATTTTTTTCCTGTGGTTCCCTATAGTGTTTCTCTTCATTCTGCCACAGATAAACCTAACCCAAAAACCTGTTTTCCGGAAATGGGGAAAAACACTGTGTGGACTTGCCCAAGTCCACACAACGTCGCCGCTACCTGGTTCTTTTGTTCGGAAGTCCACACACAGTGAATGTAATGCCTACCAACCCTTACACACCAAGGAATACGCTATCGCAATATCCCCCTCCGGCTTACAGCCAGGGGGATAAAACTGCCTAATATAAACACTTCATGATAATGTGTTCACAATATGCAAACACTTTACTTTGGGGTTTGACAAAACCCTCCCCGACCCCAAGTCTCAGTTCAGAGAACGTGCCTGTGAAGGCCTATACTTAGTAGGCCTAATTAAAGGCGAAGTTTCGGCAATAAATGACCCTTTTTTTTCGGGTAGCATCAAATCTACTTTTCTGGTGGCCGAAAAACGGTTGGAAATCAGTTGCTGCCAAAACGTTGGATCGGTTCTGCTGCCTTGGATCATGAAAGGAAGGGAACGGTGATGTCCACATTTTTTTCGACCACCTGAGTAAAAGCTACATGTATATTGGAACCTCGAGAACGCTCGCCAGCAACAGGAGCGAAATCTGCTTTTCATATATCAGAGTAGCAGACAAGCAGAAAATAATGTAGACTTATTCTTAAACGTCCAATCTGCTTGTCTGGTAGCAGAAAAGCTGATTAAAATGGAACGTTTGAAAACGTTCAATCTGTATTTCCGTGTCTGCCACACTTTTCGTCCTCCATGGTTAGACAAAGATATTTGGATGCGGCCTTAGTCTTCGTTCTAAGACGTATGGTATCTATAGGGCGGTGTCATCTAAGGAAATACATGTATGGACTACCCACTGGCGGATTTGGGAAGGGGAGGGAGGGGGATGGGGGAGAGCGGGAAAATGATGCCGATTTATTTCCTTTTTTAATCATAGAGAACTGACGACAAAAAAATGGGATTTTTTTTTATTGGTAATGTAGTCGGCAGCTCAAGTTCCTTGGGCACATACTCTGCATGCCAGACGATGACCCTGTGAAATAATATGTCCTTTATACACCACCCTATGGATGGGACTAACGTATGTTCAAAGCCTGCTTGGAGATAGTGGAGGCATACTGCGACCGGACCAAATCGCAACACTTGCTCAAGATCGCAGTAAATGGAAGAAGCTTGTAGTCGCCTCCTCTGCAGCCGAAGGATGATGATGATGATGATGATGATGATGATGATGATGATGATGGGGATGATGATGATGATGATGATGATGAATGTAGTCGACTAATCTGTGGATATTTGAGCCAAGTTCGTGGCTACTCTACATTTTGAGAAAACAAAGGACGCAAATGCAGAATTTTTTAGGTCTTTACCTTGATTCTGTTACTTATGCATGCAACCTTTATTGAAAGCCACCCTCAGTGACATTTTTTCCCTTCCAAACAATACCATTTCAGACAAAATAACTTCAGAGGTTATTTGGTACCATCTCCTATTGTCACTTTGAGCAAGGGTTGTCCTCATTACATTGGTAGATCCGTTTCCAAGTAATTACCATATATAACAACATGCCTTTAATTACCATAAAAATGTATCCTGGCACCCATTTTAAATAAACATTCAACTTACAATATGATAAAAAATATACTTTCTTGGTTATACAAGTAATATACTGACAACTTTAATATTTCATGTGCAAAACAAAATAAAGAGATATTTAATTTCATATTAATAGATTTTTTAGACCTACCACTACTTATTTCTTCACTTAGGTACTTGCCTCCAGGAATTGCATAGTTGGGGTGTAGAAATTATAGCCAACCCAACCCCCCCTTAAAAAAAACCAAAAAAAATTTACAAAAAAATCTCTTCTTCAAAATTGATTTATTTGATTTTATTTTTTACAGAACTTCATAATTTTTTTTTTATTGTTCCTGCAAAGTATTTAAATATGTGAAGAATTTGGAGAAGTGTTTGAAAAGTTAGTCACATAACCTTTGTCATATTTTCTTTCAAATATTATACTACACCCTGTTTCTTTAATTCATAATTCAGTTAATTTTGTTCTGAAAATGTCATATACATAAAAAGTAATAACTTTTTTATATTTTACATGCATGTAATATGGCAAACGAGTATTGGCATCAAGCAATTTGCGTTTTTTATGAAACCGAGTACATGCAGTATTTACAGACTGAACACAATTACACCCAAACTTCAGTGAATTTATCACATCTATAATAATGTTAAAGGCATATAGGATCATTTGCATTTATCCCCAAAAGTAATCTACATAAGTATTATCAAAAACCTTTTATGGTGTAACGACCAGTCGACCATACTGGTACTAAACATCACGTGAGATTATTCCTGAAGTATGTAGGTGACTTCCAACGATCACTCAAACTTCATCAGGCTAGGTTTTGAACATTCTTCTTTGAATTCTGAGTGGTGTTTTATTGGAAACGAACAGAATGCAAGAAAGGCAAATGATCCTATGTATGCCTTTAATTGGTCTTGCTGACAACATGTGCCTTTCTTTGTCTTCAGTCATGGCACCCTCATCTATATTTGTGGGGTGAGTTCACCTTCAGAGTTCCCGCCTACAACTGACACATCTTGCTGAACAGTGTCAGCATTGTCCTTGCCTACTTCAATGATTGGGGGAGGGTTTTCCCCATCTTCTTGATTTGATGCAGCCTCATTTGCTATGTCCTCCTCCTTCTCCTCCTCCTTGACCACACCCACGTTCATCGTTTCTTGGGGCATGTCCTTCTCATCCTCAACATCACTGTTCAACTCCAGCTGGCTGGGATCCAGGGAGCTGTAAATCTTCAGGAGGAACCAGAAGCAGGAAAAGAATCCAATGGTACCTGAAGACAGAAGAACACAGATAATAAAATCACCATAAACTTGATAAAAAAAGATTATACAGTGTACATACATGACTAATTATTGATGGAGCGTGTGGTTCGAATCCAGCTGCTGGCTGTGTCCTTGGGCAAGCCACTTCACCCTCACTTACCTCTTTCTACCTAGGAGTATAAATGGGTACCTACATTAGCTGGGGAGTAACCTGCTATGGACTGGCATAATATTCTCAGTTGTTTCATGCCATAGTTTCAGGGGCTATCCGCTCCGTGCACAAGTACCCCCTCAACGGTAAGAAAGGGAGAGTTGGGCAAGACCACATGGAGTTACATTGGAACGCATCCCTGAAGAAGCCTGATATTTATGCGAGGACACTATGAGTTTGTGCACATTCAGAACAAAATTACTTGTGCGTACTTTGTGCTATACACACGGAGAACCAGTATGCACACGCAGTGTGTCCCATCCAAGGGGCTCTCCAAAGTGCTAACAAAGCGCCCTCTCTTGTTCACACACGGACCCCATATTGGCTTGTAACAGACTTTCCTTATTATAGGATTGATTTAATGGTGATTGTTTTGTGTGTCTGTGGGGTGAGGGTGTGTATACCAATGCCTGTTGCAAAACGTGACAATGGATTACAGAAATAACACTGTGAACATTTGTACTTAAACAAGCATTCAACAATTGCAGAAAACTGCACCAGTGATTGAATTTCCGATTCTTGCAATTTGAGGCCTTTTTTTAAATCTAATGATAACATTTGCAAGTTCTGAAGGTTAGGTTGTAATACAGGGTGGGTAAAAAAAAAAACTAATCCCAAATGACAAGACTAATTTTTGAATGAAGTTTTGCCTGTAGCACTTACAAATTCTAGGACATGCAGGCATGCAACTGGGAAATCACAAAAAAAGAGGAAATTCAAATTTTTCCCAGACTTTGTACAGTGTTTTTCTATTTTCAATGGCACACATGGGAAGTAAAAAAAGAGGAAATCAGCTGATCCGAGGAAAAGTTGCATGCCTGGACATGAAAGCCCTACCAATGAGCTTTCTTTTAGTACAAGAATCATTCAAATCACTCATGTACTTTTCAAGTTACTGAATTTAGAACACAAACACCATTTTTAAGGTTCTGTAAAGTTCCGTCCACGGATCACAAAAAAAAGATAAGTGTTCTTTCAGCAAAACGAAAACAATTCACATGCATCCCTATGAGAATTGTTTTCGTTTTGCTGAAAGAACACTTACAATTTGGGTTTCGTTTTCTTTTACTCACTGTATAGATGCAAGAAAAATGGGCCAGGTACACTGTGAAGTGGTTCCTAGTAGGGGCTTGTATCAGTTCATATGCCATCAGTGTCTAGATACTCAGGTTGGATCGGGGCTCAGGTTGGCATAGCGGTACTTTCCTCACTTTCACCGCTGTGACCCCATTTTGGATTGGGTTTCAGTCCCTGCCTTATTCCGTGGGTTTCCCCTAGAATATCAATCTGGGGTTTTTCTCACACCACTAAAACTGTAACTTCCTTCCCCATCTGCTACCAAGTCTTATATATCCTGTTCTGGCGCTGTTAGATGTTCCCAAAATAAATAAATAAGTAAGTGCTGAACGCCCATGTCTCTCCTGGGTAGGTAAACAGCGCCCTCTACAGTTCTGCAAAGACAACACAGCTTGGACTCACCCGTGAACAAGAAGAACAGGAGGACCATGATGGAGGTGTAGCCAAAGTACAAGACTGTGCTGGCTGTGCCCTGGATCGTCAACTTGGACACAAAGTAATACACGCAGTAGATAAGGACGTAGACGGCAGTGAAGCCGCTCGACAGGAAAGAGCGCCACCACCAGTGATAGTTCTGCAGAGTTAAAAATGATGAAGCTTTCAACTTTAGATTGAAAAGGAATGAGGCGGTGCCCGAGTTACATCGCATGAAGGAAACTGTTTATTAATTCGGTTGAGTACCAGGACGAATTAGAATAAATCTACTTCAGCGTTGGCATGTAAATGATGCATGGTTCGGTGATTTAGGGCGGGTAATTTGAATAGGGAGTGGAACATGTGTTCAGCTAGAAAGTAGATTACTTCACGCTTGCAAGCAGTAACGAACACACACATTTTTTTAATACCTGTATTCTGGTTAGTATTTATATCCAAAGATGCCCAGTGTACGGTTATTTCTAAGAGAGTTAACCATAATATTGCTACCGCTAGCCTAAGAGCGTTGACTTGCAAAGTTCAAGTATAAGTTTCAACTTTTCCATAAATAGTTTTTGTGGTTTTTTTGTGTCTGGCATTCAACACAGCAATGAACTCGAAAGCCTCGAATGTGATTCTAACAGTATAATTAACATGCAGAAACAAGCCACAACAACTGTAAAAAATGAATATTTATTTATGATTATCAAATTCTGCAACGAACGGCGGAACCGCCGACTCAAATAATGGATGCTCTTAGGCCCAAAGCTTGCTCATCTCAAGCACAGAATGTTACAATTGTTGAAGTGTTGTACAAATGTCATTAAATCGGGGCCAGCATGCCTGGTTGCTGATACATGCAGATATACCAATGTCAGGCTGGTTTGACTATTTAATTGTGCAGAATGGTGTCAAAATGATAAATGCAAATTAAGAGATACTGTGCATGGCATATTACTACAGTGGAATGTCGCTATACCGAACACCGCTATACCGAACATTTGGCTATACCGAACATGGTGCTTGGCTCCTGATTTTTTTTTAAAAACGTACTGAACATTGTTGTTGAAAAATGTAATCAGAAGAGCAACAAGTGGCTATTATTTCCCCAAGGAATAGTACGGGAAAGCCACCCATTGCTGTAGCTACCAAGCTCTAAACTGTACTTTACATAATTCAATCAACGCATGTTCAAAGTCGTCTTTCAGTAACTATAAGTACCAGGATGTGCAGGGTGAAGTTCTGAAGGGCGTTATTTATTGAAAAGTGAGTACCAGAGCATCGGCGGCTAATAAAATCGTTATACTGAGCGATCGATATTACGAACAATTTCTGTGGATCATGCGATGTTCGTTATAGCAGCGTTTCACTGTATAAGGCCTGTAAATTATGTTAATACATTTGGGAATTGTGGGAGACAGCTTCAAGGCATGGTGAAAAACAAAAAACTGTACCTCAGATTGAAGGTGCAAAAAGCAGAACAGTATCGTGATCAAGGAACAGACGACGACCATGACTGCAGCTGTGCACAATGTGAAGCCAAATCCGTAGAAGAACTGATGCATCCTGGAACGTTAACATTGCAGGTGAGGCTGTGACTTTGAACCGTTTCAATGTTTAAGAGAAAACGGCATACAAGTCTTCTGAACATTTACCAAGCTGAAATTATAAACTGAATAAAAACAAGTGATCTGCGGACTGCATGTGTCGCCTTTTTCCGCAGTCAATCTCTGTATGTTTTGTGTTCTGAAAAAAAAAGAGTATATTTGTGCATATTAACAACCACCTTGAATGACCCCTAGATAACCTTTGACTTTCAATTTCGGAAGAGTTGTGATGAACCCCCACCCAAGGATCACTCTACTCAAGTTGCATTAAAATCCATCAAATTCTGTAGACAAAGAAACATTTGAGGAATATTTAACCCTGACCTCTAGTGACCCTACATGACCTTTAACCTCAGTAATCCGATGAAGAATTGTGTCTTCCCATCCACGGGTCACGTACTGCATGTAGGTGTCATCAAAATCCATTAAAGCATGCAGAAGTTATACATTTTTATTTTCAAAAAATGGACCAAAACTTTCATACGGGGCTATGGGTCTATGGTCATACAGAATTTAGAAGTGGCAAGTGTCTCCCAAAAGCTCATTTAGGCGACACAAACACCAAGACAAGGCAATCCTAGTAGAGCTGGCCCCAGAGTGCACAACCTTATTCCTTTGCCTCAGAATGGCTAAAGAGTTCAAAGAATAACTTGAATTGTTAACGTGTTTTGCCGTTCTGACTTGACTTATTGCTTACAAATGTATTAGGGAAAGAACATAAAACAAGCAGCACCAGTTTGCATGTGAAACCTCTTCAGTAACATCCAGTGGCATAGCCAGCAGTGTCGTAAAGGGGTATTTACTCTCCCCTCCCCCCCCCCCCCCCAATATGTTTTTAAAAAACTGCCCTTTGGGTTTTTTTTACCAAATGCCCTTTTTTTAAAAAGAAGTGCCCTTTTTGTTACCAGGGGCCTTTTAAGAGTGCCCTTTTTGGAATTTCGCACGACCATCTGCAATTGTGCCACCCTGAAAAGCGCCACCTATTGTCTGATAGTGTCCATGATCGTCCGGTTTGAACAGCGCCCACATAGGAAAGATGGTACCCCCTTCCCACCTTTTTTTGTTTTACAGAGGCCAAGTAACCAGAGAAAAAAAACGCTACCTACATGTCAGCATGGATGTGCGAGTGCCCTTTTCACAATCTCCCCAGCCCCCCCCCCCACCCCCAAATAAAAAATGATCTTGCTATGCCACTGACACCTCTTAATGGCAGGTCAACAGGTAGAAATGACAATCCCTACCCTAGCGGGTTGGCCTAGCAGTACTATCCTCGCCTTCTACCACTGTGACCCAGAATATTCCTCTGGGCTTTTCCTCCCACCTCTAAAACTGTAATTTCTTCTCATTGTCTTCTCTCTACAGGTTTCTTCAAGCTATTGTAACGAAATGTAATCGGCGCTCCATACTTTTTATATGTTTCATTTGCCCGCCATAGCTTGTGCGGTATTTTTAGAATGGGGTATATAAGGCAGCGTTCGCGCGCATTCTGGCCAGACTGTTTTGGCGCGCCGTACAGTGGCAGACTAAGAAAAGCTTCGTGGAGACAGACAGAGCGTTGTGTCGGGGAGTGACCGAAAAGCTTACCGTGAGTGTTGAGCTGCTGTATTGTTCATGTTACACACTCCTTTTCTTTTATAAATAGTGGTGCAGGGGAATTGATCTTTTGGTTTACTTGATTAAGTGAAGCTTAATACTCGTTCGCTTGAAGACAGCATATTTGGGTTTATTATTGTCACCTCTGTGCAGGAATTCTCCATTTGCTTTCGTAGACATATTTGGCAGATCTTGTTAGTGGAGCACTTTTATTGTTGGACTATCGATAAGAATATCTCTTTCCCTTAAGGAAATCCTTTCCCTTAAGGAAACTCTTTCCCTTAAGGAAACCCTTTCCCTTAAGGAACTCATTTTCCCTTAAAGAACTCCCTTTCCCTTAAGGAAACCCCCTTCCTTGAGGAACCCATTTCTAAGGTATCCAGAATGACAACTGCCTCGTGGGAGACGAAGGGTCGAGCTCATCAGGAGGATCGGCATCTGCCTTCGGGAGACCTCGGAGGGTCGTCTGGAGCCTAGGAAACCCCCTTCCTTAAAGAACTCCCTTTCCCTTTAGGAATCCCCTTCCCTTAAGGAAACCCCTTCCCTTAAGGAAACCCTTCCCCTTAAGGAAACCCCCATCTTTTTAAGTACTTGCCTTTTGTTGAGGCATTTTTAGTAAAGGAACTGCAGTTGTTGCATGGCTGAATAAAGAGACTTCTTGAAGCTTTAGCTTGTGTGTCTGGGTCCCACTTATTGTCTGGTTGGGTAGATTTGTCGTTCGAACAATATAAGGGAAAATTAGTTACGTGCGGCGACAGACAGTCTCCAAACGGATTATCGCCCTAGGACCATCTGGACTGCCGCTCGTCTGGAGGGTTCTCGAGACCGTCACTTCTCGAGAAAATCGAGATCCGCCACATTGGTGTCAGAAGTGGGATAAGGCGTAACAAATTATTCTCATTGGTTTCATTTAACCAACCCTACGATAGATCTACTTACGGACATAAGGGAGACTGGACTTAAAATATGGATGCTAAGGACATTGGACTATTTGAGGAGGAAATAGCTGTTCTTCGGATCGAGGCCGACAGAGGGGAGACCATGTTGAGGGACGCACTTGAGGATAAGAGGATTCTCGAAGAGGAGCTCATCAGCATGCGATCTTTACTAGAGGGAAGAGGAAGAAAACAGAGTCCCGAAGGGATGACATGTCGGGATGGACACCCCAGAGTTGTTTTTCTATACACCAAGCCCTGCAGTCTCCAGCACCTTCAGGACAACTCCTATGACGGGATTACGGACTCCTGCTAACACAGTTGCGTCGACAACAGGAAAGGAGAAGGAGGTTGCAGCCAAAACAATTCAACCAGCAAAGGAGAAGGATGAGGGCAAGTCGCCACCCCTGGATAAGGAAACAGAAGCAACAAAGGAAGGCGTGCTTAAGAAACCCAATATCTGCCCTGACAGGTTTACTGGAAAGGTCCCATGGAAGGACTATAAGGAGCATTTCAAGGCATGTCGTAAAGCCAATGGCTGGGACGACAAACAGGCAGCTGTATTCCTGGCGGCGAGTCTTCAGGGTCCTGCCCTGAAGGTACTCGGGTGCCAATCAGGAGGTAAGGAGCCCTCGCTCAAGGAGCTCTTTAGTCGACTAGACCAGAGGTTTGGACCGGGCCAACAGGCTGATTTTCACCTAATGGAATTGCGCCATCGTAGGCAAGGGGAAAACGAAAGTCTTCAGGAACTTGGGCAGAGCATAAGAGAATTGGCAGCACTGGCATACCCAGAATTTTCGGATGAAAGCAAGGAGCGCCTTGCTAAAGGACACTTCATGGACGCGATCACCGACCGAGCTATCAGAGAAGGGATATTCAGGTCGATGCCTGATACGCTAGACAATTCGATCAAAGCCGCCTTGGCAAATGAGAGCTTCCTAAGGACGGAAGAATGAAGGGCCGGAGACAAAGCAAGGAAGTACGCCAAAATGATAGAAACGGAAGGGGACTCGACAATGGAGAGGCTGAAGAGGGAGATTCGGGAGAATCGGGAGGAAATGAGCCAGGCTATTAGGAGTATCCACTCCCTTTTACAGGAAAGGACCGGGACGAAGGAAATTCCATCCCAAAAGGACTTAGGCGAAAGGCAAACCAAGGAAGCCAAATATAGCCGTCGCAAGGCAAGTGCAGAGGATGCGTGTTACAATTGTAAACACAAGGGACATTTCGCCAGAGACTGTCCTGAACCTAACGAGAGGAGAACGTCACGGCAGGGAAACGGAGCTCAGCCATCTCAGTGGCCCATGGGGAGGCTGCCAGAGAGCCAGGGCCAAGCAACAATGGAAGTGATGGTGGAGGACAAACAAAAGCCTTTGTAAGTGAGCAGCGAGAAACAAAGGGAGCAATTATTGGATCATTCAGACAAATGGGGGGTTTGTTCGTGTCTGCGGTTGTCAGGGGACTGCAGGCTCATCTTTTGATTGATACAGGGGCAACTGATACTGTCTTGTCGACAGCCTTGTATAACAGGATGGAACCCCAGGCACGGCCGGTACTCACAACGGACAGAGGGAAACTATATAGTGTAGAAGGAAGCCCCGTTAACGCTGTTGGGAGTGCCTGGCTTGACATTCGGGTGGGTAGGACAACCTGCCCTGTACATGCGATATTTGCTGATGTTGCTGTGGAAGGGATACTAGGAATTGATTTTCTTAGAACCACTAACGGGAAATTGGATTTTGGAAATTCCGTGCTGGACCTGAATGGGGAAAGGGTCCGCTGTATGGACAAAGAAGGAGCAAATCTGTGTGATAGAGTCATCGTTCAGGAAACGACCACGGTTCCTGGAGGGCATGAAGCCCTGGTTACCGGCAGAGTGGTCGCAGGATTCTCTGGATTGGGTCTGATGGAACCAGCCGAAGGGAGTGAACTGGCAGCCAAGGGACTCATAGTAGCGAGACTTTTAGTGAAACCTCAGGAGGACGGGTTACCGATTCGGGTATTCAACCCTGGGGAGGCGAGTGATGGAGCAGACCTAGACTATCCGATGGAAATGAGGCAGAGGATCCAAGCGTCACATGACAGAGCTCGAGAACAGCTCGGAAAAAGCGCTAGAAGACAGAAACTGAATTACAACAGGAGGACGTGCAAGGAGGTGTACTTGCCAGGCCAGTTTGCCTGGAAGTATAACCCTGCAAAGAAGAAGGGAATCTCGCCCAAACTACAATGTCGGTGGGAAGGCCCATATCTGATTCAAGACAAGCTTTCAGATGTAACGTTCCAGATTCAAAAGCGGCGTGAAGGAAAAACTGAAGTCATCCACTGTGACAGATTGAAACCATACAAGGGGAAGCCACTAGATCCCTGGAAACGTGCACGGCCTGGAAGGGCTGAGTCGCTGGACCATCCCGAGGGGGCTGAGTCGCTGGAC